TTTATTGTGTCTCCTGTCCGTCGTATTTTTTTTCCATTTAAATTGTCTTTACTTATATCGAATAATATTGACTTTATAAATTTCGGCTTTTTCTTTTTTGTTCTAACTTTTTTTTGAACATACAAAATTGTATAATATAACGGGCAACCGTTTCTAAAATTGTTTCCGTTTTTGAAATTATATTCAAAATTAAAAATGTCATATTTTTTTTGTTCGATAAATAAAAAAAAATGTGTGAACACAAAAAACTATTGTTGCTTTTTCCGTATTGTCGAGTATATAAGTCAATTTTTACAATATAATAAAATATTGACTTAGTTGTAATATTCTAATCTGAACAAATCTTGTAACTATTACTGTACTTGGAAATCACTTTTCGACGGTATGAGTGTTTTGACAGTTGTACAATAATATAATTATAGGCATAACCGCACAATAAGTGGTTCGACCTTTATCGAGTACCGAGTGAAAAGTGTAATACATTTGCTAGGTAGGTATATAACATAAATTCTCAGACATGGCCACAATAATATTATTCTATATTGTCATCACTCGTCATTATTTGTCGGTAATGTTTTCTTCCATATCATGTTTTAGAACAATTTTCAAGTCACAATAAAACAAAAAAAAAAAATCATAGCACATTCCTATCGTAATAATATTATAATTATAATATGTATTAATTAAAAATGCTTTAACTTACTATTAAGATTTCCTATGTATCGTTAGAGTTGATATTATTAGCTGTCGTGAGTCTATTTTGGTACTCATATAACGATATAACACTATAGATAATATGGGCCATGAGAATTAACATTGGTTTTAATGATTAATGATTAATTAATGAGCTCGACGAGCTCGTAGACGGCTATACCTGTAGGTTGTAGTAGGTAGGTATATAAACTTGAAACCTTCATCATATGGGAAATAAGCGAAGGTGTACAATACCGTAAGCCGCGTAAGGCGTAAATATATGCAAACAAATTTTCATTAATTAAAACGTGACAAAATGTACATAAAAAATATGCAAGTTGGTTATACAGGGTGTCCCGTGAGGATTTACTCATTAGCCGTAGAGGGGGACTCACCGCCCGGACAAAAACCAGTTTATTGACGTTTTACTAATAAACTAAAAAAATTATTAAAAATCATGAGATTAATGAAAATAAAATGTTCAAAGCTCAAAATGTTCACAAAAATATACTCTATAGAATGGCTATCTTCAATTTTTTCAAAAATAAAAAAATAAAATTTTTAACTTTTTTACTAAAAAATTTAATTTAATTAAAAAATAAAATATTTGTAGTGCTTACCTCTGAGAGTCTTAATAAAAAAACATAATTACGATATCTCCATTATTTCAGGAGATATCGCAATGAGTAAATCCTCACGGGACACCCTGTATTTGTAAAAATAAATTTACATAAATGGGTATGGATATCTATCTATATAGTTTGCAGGATGAAGAATAATCAATTTTATTACGAATAGGTATTTGCATACTTTCTTTGTTTTTGATATTTATAATTATAATTATAATTTATTTATATGTATCAATGCCATTAAAGCCTGGGTTAGAAAACGATTTATTGAACTTAATGCTTATAAATCTAAATTTATGTTTTTTCATATAAATAATTATAAAGTCCCTACACGGGACATTTGTCTTACAAGTGAGTAACATAGAAAATATTATGCTCAGCAGATGCAAGCCCGGATTAAGGGGGGGTCCAGGGGGGGCCATGGCCCCCGGGCCTCCATTTATTTAGGGGCCTCAGATTTGTCCATTATAGGCTATAACACCGCATAAATCACTTTAAAAAAATCGATGATTATTTAGCGAGGAAAAAAGCTTGTAAATTATAATTTATAAATTGATTTATTGCTATGTACCTAATACCTATATATATTTATTATAACAGGTACCTATATATTAATATACATTATTTTTTTTTCGTACAGGGGCCTCATTTAAACTTTGGCCCCTGGGCCTCAAAATGTCTTAATCCGGGCTTGAGCAGATCATACTTGATAGCTCCGTTAGTTCAAAGATTAGACTTCTCATAAAATTTAATGGTGAAATTATTATCTAGGGCGTCTCATTAGCTTTTTATTATATTTTAGTTTTAAAGTGAATTATGAGTATTTCAAAATTGTAAATTGCTCATACATCTTAAAATACTCATTATGTTATTACCTACGTTGTTTACTGCTATTACGTTTAGACAATAAATTCGACAATTTCGGTAATGGTTGGTACTTGATAATCTATTTTTTATATATGTTTGAATCAGTAATATGTATTTAATTACAAAAATCTAATTTGAATACAAGTCTTAAAAGGATGGAAAAAAATCTAAATAGAATAAAAAGATTAGCTGTATAAAAAATGTCCAATTTAAATATAATAATTCTACATTGAATAAAAAATGTCCAATTTAAATATAATAATTCTAAATTGAATAAAAAAATCTAATTGGATAAAAAAGTAAAGTTGAAAGTCTATATTTAATAAAAGACATCTAATTTGAATAAAAAATCTTACTTGAATTTTTTTTAATCATTTAACATTTTTTTATTCAATGTTTATTTATTTTATTTTATGTGACCTTTTTTTATACAGCTGATATTTTATTCTATTTAGATATTTTCTATTCTTTTAAGACTTATTCAAAGTAGATGAACACAAAAATTTTTGGTTGGGTAGCGAAACTCTTGCATCCTCGACGACTATAAAAATGGGTTGGGTTTCTAAAACACATAGAATGGATTTCAAGTACCACAATCACATCTTTAGTGTGGGAATGTAAGTCCATTTGTTGAGTCTCAAACATTTTTTTTATAAGTAAAAATGTTGAAAACTTACAAAATAAAAATTATTTTCTAATCCAAAAGGGTATCGGTTTTTCTGGAATACCAAATGTTTTACGACTTTAGAGGTTAAAATGATTACGTGGATATTTATCGTCGAATTCGCACAAACTAATGGAGTTAATTTTGTTTTTAAATTCCGAAGTGGGGAGAAGGCACGGAGCTCACTTTGTTGCAAGTAAAAAATTACAACTCTTAAAAAATTGTAATTATTCAACTACTTTTGGGTGTAGGTAACTCGTTGCATTAAGTGCCACTCAGCTACCCTGGTAGCATTTTCTTATACAAACTTTCAACACATAAATAATGAAGTCATGGACTCCACTAAACTTTTACTTGCAATTAATGTATTAGTGTATTACTCCAATGGGCTTAGTTTTTGAAACTTTTAATTATTTTTATCTTTGGGAAGGAATAAAATGTTACAATTATGATTTAAGGCCAATGTAATTTTACTACCTAGACTAAAATTCAAAAAAGTGAAAACTTATTAGATTCATTAAAAAAAATTCACTTACGAAATATTACAGACTACAGTATAAAGAAGCTAACTAATTCTATTCGATTAACCATATTTTGCACAGTGCACACAAAACAATATAATATTGTATTCTCCTTATTAGCAAGCACAGTATTAACACTAGTATTTATTTACTAGCCAACATAATATAATATAAATTGTATGTACGGCATGTACCCCTACTACCTACCACCTACGTATAAAGAATGTAGCCACACACGATCCTCTCTCCGAGCCAAGTTTATACCAATGCTACATCTTATAATATATAATTAAATGAAATAGTTATATACATTACTGAATACCAGTTACTAATACTTAAAATCACATCCATTATTCCATTGCCTCATCATGAAATATAGCCGAAATAGTAAATACGCCAGTCACGAGCTATTAGCACATCTCTATTAAAATTCTAACTTTATGTTATAAATCAATAATCATAATATAGAATAAGCTTACTCTAATATAGGTACCTACCTAAAAGTTGTAGATATACCTAATTAAAATATAAAATAAATTAGTTTATTTTTAAATTTTAATAGAATCTTAAAATTATTATAAAACTGCAAAATACAGGCTTTTGATAGTTATCAAGAAAATAAAAATAAAGAAAACTCATAATAGGCACCTAATCAGTAATCATATTATATAAGTAGGCAGTAGGCGTGCATTATAAAACATCCAGATCGTACTATAATATTCTAAAAGAAATGTCAACCATCTACTTTAAAATTAAAATAAGTGAATTTTGTTTTGCTCTACCTATTTCCTATAATATGAAGAAATAAAAACTAAGTAGATACTAGATAGGTACTTTGGAAGTCAAACTGTAAACATATAATTTAATCAGTAGGTAAGTGGTAATTATATTGAAAATCACACAAATTGAAATTTTATTTCATAAGCTACAGTAGGTATGCGTTTTTAATAATAAAGTTTATAATTTTTATAGTTTTACATATTAAAATTTATTCACAATATAATATTTAAACAATAAGCAATATTTAATTGACAAATTAGAATGTTTGATTAAGTTATTTCTAAATATTTTTGAACCAAAAATAATTTCTTTCTTTGAATATATAAATTAATTAATTTCTAAACAAAATAAAATATGTAATCTTCCAGTTTTTCTTTTTTTGACGTTATCCAATAAGACAATATTCAACAGCCTAAGGAATTATAAGCACAAACAGTAATAGTAATGTTATTGCTGTAAGTAATAAAACTAAAAATTGAATACAAAACAGTAAACATTATATCTGCATAAGAGCTTGATCTCTAAATACGAAAATAGGCCTTTTTAAAAAATCAACTAAAATTATATTATATGGGTTACAGGTAACCACAATATACAAATCAATATTTGGGTGAACCTATGACTTAACTAAAAAAGTAAAAGGCAATAAGGCATAATTTAAAAATATATAATAATTATAACATAAGTTTATTTTTTAGGGGAAATGGTATAAAATGTATTAAAATCAGTTGGAAATGATAGATTTAACATAATATGAGGAAAAAAAGCAAATATAAATTAAATACAAAATTAATTTAAGCTATTTGTAAAGATACTCAAGTCTCAAATTGATTACTTACTTTTGAATTATTTAATAAATTTAGGTTGAAGATTAGGAGAAGGAACAGTAAAAACAACAGGTGAATTTGGCTTAGTCCAGTCAGTTTTTTTGATATTTGTAGGTTTAATTTTTTTCTGAAAATACACATAGTTAATCAAATATTAATTATTCATTAAACAATGAATTAAAACATTATTAAACAAATATGTTTTTACTTGAGATAACTTAATATCAGCAGGTATTTTAAATTTTTTCTTCGCAGCAGGAATCAAACTAGCGTTTAAGGTTGATTTAACTTGACTTGTATTACTCAAAATGCTCATGTTACTTTTTATTTGATGAGGACTTGCAGAAGAATTATAATCAACATCATCATTTACATTTAGGTTGTACTCATTTGTTTTCTATTAATCATAAACACATATTTTGAAAACAATAACAAAAAAAAAAAAATATTAAGGTAATGTTTTGTATAAAAATGTGTATATCTAAAAAATTATAATAGATGACGTAATATGTATTTTAAACTTTTAACATTTGCGATAATTAATTTAATATTTAGAATTGTTTTTCTTTTCTATTATGAAACAATTTTATCTTATTGTCATAGGCCAAACAAATTACTATAATAAAAAAGTAAATAAATACATCTTTGATAAATTATTATTTTTTATTTTTTTTTTGGCCAAAGCTTCATGCAAAACTTAGAGATGGAAAAAAAGCTTTAAATGTAATACATGGTTCTTTATGTTCTTAATATTTAAATTTAAAAAAAGGTGGGAAAGTTTGTGATGCTCTGATCTATAGTAAGTTACAAGTGGGCCACTGTAATGGATAGTGTTAAACTTGAATTCAATGATATATCATTGTATACGAAAAATGATTCTGAGCGTAGACTGTTAGTCAGCCTATGATACATTACTAAGTATATTTGATGATATTATTGTGAATAAAGTAACTTATATATAACCTATTTAAGGTGAACGTTGTTTCAAATGTTCAATTCATTAAAATTTAAAAGTTCAAAATGTTATTATTTTTTAATTTTAAATTTGATAAAAGTTGTCAGTATTTAAACTTTAAATGCTTATAACAAAATTGTGATTATGTATTATTAATATTTTCCAACTGCTATTGTAACAATATATTATGTGCCTTGCATTTAAATGTTGAAGCTTTTTAAACAAATAGAATTGTTGATATTTATAGAAAAAACTAAAAAATTGGAAACTGAAAATGTCTGTAAGCCACTCAAAAGAAATCAAAATATATTTTTAAAATTGTGTTATGAATAGAAAATGATAATATAAACATTCAGTGAAAATTTCATGTATCTACGGTTAATTGTTAGTTACACCAAAAATCAAAATCGATATTACTGTCAAAAACTAAATTTTTATTTTGTTTTTCCCTGAGCTTTTGAAAACTATTGAGAATTTTAATGATCTCCCGAATGCACCAGCTAGATTCACTTCCACTTTTATGATTATGTATTTTAAAAATTCCTAAGACATCCCAATAAAGTACTAACTAGATTCAAATCACTACCAGAAACCTTCCTCAAAGTTGATGATCGGAGAATATTTTTTGCTAAGTGTTTTTAGACACATATTTTTTTTCTAATAACACATCTTTGTAAAATCATTACCAATATTTAAATAATTAAACGTGATACTTAAATTTAATCACCTCTATTGTATTAGCATTTTTGTCTTCGTGTTTTAAATTAATACTTTTAAATGATGAGTTTAATGAATTTTCAATTTGGCTTACATCATTTTTTTGATTTAAAACATCTGATGACATTTCTGTTATCTACATAGGTAGTATAAAAGTATTACATAATATAATTGTTTAATAAGCTTTTTGCCATATGGGAGTATTATTGAAAAATCTTGTTTCTAGAATCTTAACTTGGGTAAATTATTTTTTTTTATGATGATGGCCTATTTTATTTTGTTAATTTATATTTTAATACACTGTTGGTAATAATATTGAATTAAAAAATATATAAAATAATTAATATTGATTACAAAATTTAAATAGTGAATAGGTCATCCAAACACAGAAAAATCAAAAATGTTTAATATATTCATAAGGGCCAAAAGTACATTATTATTAATTATAGTTAAAATGTACATAAATGAAAATTACTATGTACTTTTGACTAATTACTTATAACAATAGCATTTGAAAACCTTTGTAAACTTACATGTGAGGCAGCAACATCAACAGATGTTATACGTTTCTTCACTTTAGAACTACCAATATGTATTAAAGGTGAACCATTTCTTTTTAAGCTTGAAATATTAGATTTTTGAAAAGGTTTGTTTGAAGTAGAACGTATACTAACATTCATGTTTGATACATTTCTGTCATTAAATTCAATTATACTCACATCCTATTTTTTTTAAATAAAATAATTAAATATAAATATACTGAAAAGTGTAAAAATAAGTGTACTCACATGATCAATATTATTATCTTCATCACTTAATACCTAAAAAAACAAAAAAATTCGAAGATGAAAAAAATTGATTTTGTATAAAATGTTTGAGACAACATACCTCAATAGTATCTACGGGTTGAAGTTGTTGAGTTTTTTTTTTTGGTTCTGATCGAGAACATTGATGTCTAAGTCTCATAACTTCTACATATAACTGTTTGGCTTTTGACTTATATTTCATCTAAAATTTTAAATTGATAGTTAATAAAATGAAAATAATAATTTTATTATCTTACTATACATTTGATTTAATATTGAAACTGTATGTAAACAATTATTAGATATTTATTTTTGTATGGTAAAAAATTAACTTTTATGAGTAAATTATAGTTTATTAAATGTTGGAAAGTGAAAACCAATAATATTTTTATTTTCTTATTCAGAAGTAGAATATATTTTGCTGTATTTCTATGCATAATAATTGAATTTTTAATAAATAGGATGTTATTTAATATTTATATATTTAGATGATTGGAGTTGTGTAGCACAAGTGCAAAATTAAAATATTAGTTCATTAAACCACACTCCTAAACTTAATATACTTGCAAAGTTATAAATAATTAACTTCTCTCTCGATATTAAATTTTTATACATTGAAAAATATTCTGCTTAGGAATATTAAATTAAAAATCAAAAAAGTAAAAACTTAGAAACTGATAATGATTACAAAATAGGAAAAATACAAATTTTTAATGACTACAAATCATGTATAAAAACATTTTAGAAATGTTAATAATTTTCATGAAATTTGTTGCAAAGTTAAAAAAAAATCAATCATCATGTATCATTGATACAGATTAAATTATTAATTAATATATTCACATAATTAGCAGTTAGTTTTTCAATTTGACCAAAATGTTCTTTGCTTTGATTTTCTAGGTAAGTTTTTTCTTTTTCCAGTTCATTTTTTTCTGAAACTAGTTCTTTAGTAGAGTCGCTTAATGTTTGATAAGCATTAACTAAATTTTTATTTAATTCCTAAAAGAAAAATGTAAATTATGACATGTTTTATAAAGCAATAATTAATTTTTAAGTAGTTATTAAAAATTATAATTAATTGTAATAGGTAATCACATTAATTTTATTTTGCAATTCAGGTATCAAAACACAATTAGCTTGTAATTCCTCTCGTAAGCCAGTAATTGTTTTATTAGATGTTTGAATTTCTTCCTTTAATTCTATTACTTCAGCTTGATTTTTAATTTCTTTTTCTTTTTGTAACGCTAACTTTTCATTTCTATCTTTTAATCTATCATCTTGCATTTTCAATAACTAAAAAATGTACATTATATCAACGAAACATAGTCTACTAAAATAAAAATATAGTGTAAGTTTAAATAAAAACATGAAAGATGGGTTTCTACAAATATTGTTATAAATCTTTATCATATGAATAAAAATATAAATACAGATTAGTTATTACATATTGTATTGATCATTATAGAGTATTTTTTTTATAATTTATACTTGGACTTTGGTTACTGGCCAACAATATTTTAATTGAAACACTAAAATAATTGAAAATACTAACATTGTCATAATTTTCACACATATCTTTAAATTTGTTTTCTGTCTCTTCTTGAATTCCTTGTTGAGATAATTTTATACTACTAATATCCTCTACCAAATTTGTATTAATTTTTTCAAGATATTCATTCTGTTCTTTTAATGTAAAATTATCTTTTTTTAATTTATCATTTAATTCCTCAAATATTTTTAAATTATCACACAATTCTGATTGCTCTTTAATTATATTTGATTGTATATCTATCTGTTTTTGGTTTTCATTTCTAATAAACATAAATTATCAATATAGGTATACAAATTCTTAATAATTATATATTGTATATATTTTTTAATAATTACAGAGAAGTCTTCAGTACATTAAGCTCATCTTCCAAACTTTGATTTTTAGTTCTTAATTCATCATACTTTTGATTCATGGATTTATTTTGATTAGTAAGCAGTAGATTTTGATTTTCCATCTCTCTTCGTTCTGTTTCAAAGCATTGACTAAAATCAAAATAACAATAATTTACCAAGGATTTATTTATTTACTATTTTATCATAATTTACTTAAGATTCAATAAATTTTCTTTTTCTTCATTTAACTGTATATATGAATCATTCAGTTTTTCCAACAAAATATTATTCTAAAAAAAATTATAATCATTGTAGGTATTTATATTAAAATTTATATTATTGAAATATATAAGTTAATACTAATTGTAGCTATTACACGATAAAACAAGATTCTTTTATTTTTCATGGCCTACTACATAAAACAATTTTTATTATATATGAAAATATCGAGAATTATTACTTAAAAAATTAAATAATATTATGTTATAATTAATATACTATTTAACATACTTCATTTTTTAAATATTCTATTTCATTAGTACATTCTTGTAGATTTGTTTTAAAAGCAGATACATCAAGAGAATACTTATCTTGCAACATTTCGAAATCTTCTTTAGTTCTTATCTTTTCAATAGTCACTGAAAAGGGAAATTATATTGAACAATAGTGATAAAAAAAATAAGCTTAAAATTCAAAAAGGTATATTTTGTAAATAATTACTATTACTATAGGCCCGAGGACTTAGGGCTTGTTTTTTCATATTTGTCTAGAAATGTTGTAAAACAATGTGTAAATATGTTTCATAACTCAAGATAAAAGTATTATTTTGCATATTTGTTTGTTATGGCATATAAATACATATTTGGCAAATTAAGAGCATATAGGTACACATTTGGAATATTACGTAATTAAATATAATGGTATAAAAATCTTTATAAAAATATTATTTTTCATGTATACCTATATATAATATTAACATTGTAGGTTACGTAATTCACTATATGGCCAATAATACATGTAAGAAATGAACTTCAATTAAATAATAAAATAAATATTAATATATTAAATAATAAATAATAAAATATATTCTTCATTTCCCCATCAGAAGTTTAAGTTAAAATACATATTTTGCTTTTTTTTTTATAAATTTGTCCATACTTAAGTAGATACTTACCACCAACCCCCCCCCCATTTTTATTTATAACAAAGTTATGATGTAAATAAAATGTGGGCGAAAAAGCCAAGTGGGGTCAGGCCTCAGCTTGTAATTCTACGCCAGTCACGAGTAGGCACCACCCCCTTTTAAAAGTGACGCAATTACATCAAAATAGAGCCCTTAGCCAGCCACTAATTACAGTGGTACATTACCTTGCTTTAATGACTCATCAAGAGCATCTGAAATAGTCAACATTTTTTCTTGAAATGTATTAGTAGTTTGATCTACTAAAGTCATAACATCTTTTTGTCTGGTTTTTGCATTATCTACTGTGTCCCCGAGTCTGTTTAAACGTTCACAAATAATTGTGAAACTGGTATTAAGGCGGATACAGGTATCATTTACTGACTTCGTTCTGAAATAAATATACATATTTTACACTTAAAATTCAGTTATTATGTTGTATATCTTTTACCCATGTATATCTACATTTTAATAGGCTTGTTTAATTTTTACTTGTTTAATACAAATAAACTTGATATTCAATAATTTTAGTATTTAATTAATTATTTAAATAAATATATTATTGATATTGAATAGGTAAGTAATAAAAAATTAAGAGAAACTATTCTAAAAAGAATATATTATAATACGTACATAGATATTTTCTAAAGCAATATAAAATTAAAAATATCATAATTTTGAATTTATGAAATTAAAATTTTACAACATTACATTACCAGTTTGAATATTATAACCACAATTTATGAAAAAATGTGTTTTAATATAAAAAAAATTTGTTAAAGTTTACTTAATATATTATGAGAAAATAATATGAACATGGTTAAAAAACAAAGATAAAATCTTTAAAAAGTCATTACTTTTCCATTAAATTCTTGCATTGGTTGTTTAGAACATAGTTGTTATTTTGAGAATTCATCATAGCTGTATGCAATGATTGAATGGTGTAATCTCTTTCAGATAATGCTTTTTCATATTCGGAGATTTTCAAAGCCATTGTTACATTATTTTGATCAATCGTTATGCGTTGAAGATCTAAGTATTTTACAGAATTGCAAAGGCAATTGTTTTCCAAGACTGATTCAGTAATGCCTGTGTTCTATAGAAATTTAAATTATTAATTATTATAATTAAAATATATATTTTTTTAATTTGATTAGCTTTTAATAAAAAGTGATCATAGCTGAATAATTAATTGTGTATAGGTACTAATAGAGTCTACAGAATAATAAATAATAATAGTTATTACTATAATAACAATGAGACAGAGACCCCCCCCCCATCGTTATGTCACTGCATAATTAAAGATTAAACTAAAGAGGAAATTATAAAGTTGATATAGTGCCATAGTGGGGTAAAAATAATATTAGGAACCTGTTTTAGACTAGTCTATAGCTCATGATTAACAACCCAATTTATGAAAATATAGAGGTAGTATATAGGTAGATATAACTAATCATAACTAATTCAATACAATTGCATACTTACATTAAAACTATGGAAAGTTGTATTATTTGGCGAACTAGTAGTTTTATCAATTTCATCACAAACATCCAGCAATTTAGCATTTCGCTCTTGTGCATTCATTTTGAGACTACTTCAGTTATAATATGGTATTGGTCAATCAACTATATACCTACAAAAGAGTGGTTTTCGGTAAAACACTTCATCAATATTATTGGATATCAATAATCTTCAATTTAAAGAGCAATCGAACTCTTCTATTATATTAGATGTTTTAATTATAAAAACTACGGCCCAATAAAGAAAATAATATATACCTATAATACTAGGTATGTAAAAATTAGGGTATAAATCTACTTTAGCGCCCATGCGAATTTTTCAATTTTTTTTTCTGAAGCCTATGTACTTTATAAGTTATAACACTTATTAACATGTTATGTCATCTTAAATAATTCAATATTGCACCGCCACGTACCTAATGTTAGTCATGACCTAGTGGTATAGCACGCAGTCTGATTATCATATAGTACCAAGTTCGAATCCCTTTCCCAATCCATTTTTTTTTTAAAATCAAAATGCATATTTTTTACCGGTACTTGTGCGTTATCGCGACTACCATACGCCATGAGTGACGCCGTGACCTATTTATAGCCACATTTGTTTTGCCCCTGTTACCTACTTGAGGTGGTTTTTGCATAACAGTCGAGTGATATTTTCGATTAGCGGAAAATTCGTTATAAGCGCAGTAAAATAGATGTAAATGCGCGCACGAGCAAAACACCGAAAATCGTGAACTTCGTAAGTAGATAACTTCAAAACTAATCATTTCCGACAATTAATTTTTGTACCATCGTTTTAAACTCTTTGAAATACGTGTTTCCAAAAAAAAAAATCGAAAAATTCGTATGGGCGCTAAACTAGATTTGTTCCCAAAATATAAGTTTTCCTTTTCAAGTGTTTAAAGTGGGACAATAATACCTTAATACTCGAGGACGACGGCTCTACGGACAATGGCTGACGTGTAGTCCCTACGACATGACGTGACACTACGAAAGTGAAGAGTTGAAAGTACCAATTACCAAATTGCAACGCAGTTAAAACTTAATACCTAGCAAACAGGACCTACAGATTCTAAAAACGTACAGGAAGACAAAGGCAAAATATTAAGATGGAGCCGATGGCGGTTGACTCGACGAAAATACAGGATTGCAACATGACAGGAACGAATTTTAATTTTTAATAGGTAAATCGCAAATAGTAAAATCATGTACAATATACCAATTACCAATAGACCTATAAACTATTTAACCATACCGTTCTATGACCATACACAGCCAGGGTCGGACTGGCCAATATAACCGACTAGCCATACGCCATAGCCAGTAGGGGCCCCCTTGTGTGTATGACTATATAGGGCCCCATCTAATGAACGGAAAAATCATAAGTATAAAATATTATATGAACTGTACATTTATATAATATGTTATATTTGTTTAAGAATAATCAAACATAAAAACAGTGTAGTTTAGACGGACAAAACATGTTTGTGACGTCTCAACGTTTCTGTTATCGTCTCATCGATGCCAATTAAAAATAATAATATATAATATGATTGATCAATATTGGAATTTTAGAGGTATTTATTTTTAGAACTGCAAACCTATTCTTATTGCTTTGAGGAATACTTCAATCAGTAGGTACACAATGATACGTATATATCCCTTGGAAGGCCATAACTTCGGAACTAAATGAGAGCGACAAATTCTGATTGTACCATCGTCATAATTAATAACTTAAATTGATGCTAGTATTCATAGAAAATGCGGATAACCAACGTATAATAATATAATGTATAGGTATGCTTTTATTTAATGAAATGTCATATTATCTACATATTATTATCAATGTAAAAAATGCTTAAGTAGTTACGTGTATAAAAATGAAAGAAAATATAATATATAACATTATACAATTATTTTACGTATTTATTTTGAGTTGTTATTATACAATTAATAAAAATCATCTGTAACAATTATTTAAAGTCACATACACAATTAATTTGTATACAAATAGAATAAATAAAAATATTAATTAATATACATTTGATACAAATATATTGTTATTAGGTACTCAATTTCAAATAAAAAATACAAGTATTTTTTTATTTTGATAGTTTTAAACCATGGCATTTAGATTTGGGTAAATATTTAATTTATTTCTATGACGCTGAAAGTTTTCCATTTCCAAGGAGTCTTCATCAAACTCTCGATCATTAGGATGGTTGTATTTATAAGATCGAAGTATTAAGTTATGGGTGATACTTGAGTTACGATGATTCTTTCTGGCGCGAAAAAATGATTGAGAAGTTAAAAGTGTAATATTGAACATGATTTTTTTAATTTATATTTTATAGTACCTAATTGGATTTTTACGTAATTAAATAAGCATAATATCAAATTTTATTTTCAGTTTTTATACAGAATGCTTACTTCCAGAAATAGTCAATCCCCAGTACGGAAAGAGGCTGTTGGTAGATGACATTTCAGATCCTCAACATATTTTGGAAAATATAAAAACAAAAAAATGGCAAAAAAAAAATAGTGTACCGCGATTAATATTCATGTAATATTCATGTACAATAATTATTACTATATACCAGGGATGGCAAATCCATGCAAGCCCGGATTAAAGGGGGGCCAAGGGGGGCACGGTCCCGGGGCCCACTGATTTTGGGGGCCCATCTTTATCACCAAAATATATTTTTTTAACGCGTCCAATACAGTTTTCAAAAAAAAAAAAATTATTTAAGTAGGTAGGTATAGTAGGTAAATTATTATTTATAATTATAAAATAAATATGTTCTCAATTTTATACCACCAAATATTTCTATAAATAATGAACTATGTTTGCCAATAATTTTGTTTTTGTTTTTTTTGAACATTTTAGATTACCAATTTAACTATTTAAGTGTATAAAAGGTAGTCATAAGAAAAAGTTATTTAGCTCTTGTAAATTAGGTATTTCAGTTAAAAGTATTAATGCATACTAGTGATGATCAAAACAAGACCAAGACCAATTAGACTTTCAAAATCTTGGACTTGGTATTTATTATGCAGACTCAGTATTGGTCTTGGTCTTGGTCTTGAGCAAGACTCTTGCTATTTTCACAAAATATATAAAAAATAACTAAATACGTGTTATAAATGTGTGAAATAATTTTTCAGTAATTGTTAATTAGTATGAACAACTATGTTATATTGTAATATCAATTCCCATTATATTTCTGATATTTTTTTCAATAATTCGCCATTTCCTCGAACACTGGTCAAATTTCATAACAATACAAATAAATTCTTTTTATTTTCGTTATAAATTATTAGTTAATGAAATCTAGATACAGTAATGTGTTTTCGGAAAAAAAAAAATTTGCATGACCACAAGAGTCTTGCAGTGATGGTCTTGTCATGTTCTTGCAAGCCTAATCTTGGTCTTGGTCTTGGTCTTGTAGTAAGAGTCCTGCGAGACCGCAAGACCAAGACCAATTTTGATCGTCACTAATGCATACTTTAGAAGATCATAGTTAATAACCTAGCTAACCAAATTTATTATTTGACTGTCAAAATGTTTAGAAAAAAAGCTTTAGCGGAATCCATAAAAAAACATAGTGGTTACCATTTGAAAAAATAAAGTCGATTTTATTATTTTTACAACTGCGTGTTTAAAAATTTTGAATATGTTATAAAATAAATTGCCTGTTAAAAATAAAGAAACGATTGTCTTTTTTTTGTTTTAACGAAATTCCATATCATCGATCCATACCTAATTGTTAAAAAAAAAAAAACATACAATGCCATAAGATACGCTCTTTATATTTTTTTATTTTTGTATAGTAAAAAATTATACAATAATATAAAGTCGTTAATATGTAATGATACAATTATTTTGAAGTTAAAGTTGAAAGGGGGCGGGGGCCCACTAAGTGTATGGTGTCTCCGGGCTTGAATCCATGGCACGCGAAAAGATTTTGTGGGCACGCGAAAATTTTAGATTCTGAGTGAAACGATGAATGTATTGATTTTACAATGATGTGTGTTTTTTTTTTAATTTTTTAATTTTTTTTTTTTTTGTGTCTGTGTACACGATAAGTAGTCGAAATAATGCTTCGATTTTCGACTTCAGTATCTTGTTCGATTGGAAAGTGAATATCGTTGGTGCATTGGGGAGGTCAAAATTTAAATTTCCCAGTAGTTTTCACAAGCGCCGGGAAAAACAACATAAAAATTAAGGAAAAACGGGAATTTTTACGCAAAATCGATTTTCCAAAAAATCGAATTTGGTTTTTGGTGTAACTTTAAAACAAATGACCGTAGATACATGAAATTTTCACTGGTTGTTTATATTTGCATTTTCTATACACGATAAAATTTTCAAAATATTTTGATTTATTTTGAACTGTTTAGGGACATTTTCAGTTTCCAATTTTATTAGTTTTTTTTTATGAATATCAATAAAAATTTATTTGTTGAGTAAAAATACTTGAAAATTTAATACAAGGCTCCTACTATATTGTTTCAAAGACAGATGAAAAATATTAAAAATCGTAAGTCACAGTTTTTTTTTTTTTAAGCATTTAAAGTTCAAAAAATGACAAAATATGGAAAATCACGAAAATTTGCAAATTATTTTGAGTTAGAAATTCATAAAAATTTTTCTTTTTAAATCTAAGATTTTAAAATGTAATACAAGATTACTCATAAGCTTGTCTACATTTATCAATAAATAAATCTCTACCGGACAGTCAAATTCAATTTTTATGAGCGTTTGAAATTTAAATTATTACAACATTGGATGTTCACTCGATTTCTCATGTAGCGATTTCCTTATTTTGTTGTTATTCATAACGAATAACTATAGATACATGAAAATTTCACTGAATGTTTATATTAGTATTTCCTATACACCATACAATTTTGAAAATATTTTGACTCTTTTTGAGCTATTTACGGATATATTCATTTTTCAATTTTTTAGTTTTTTTTTCTATGAATATCAATAAAGTTTTATCTGTTAGGCCAAAAAGTGTAAAAATTTAATACAAGGCTCCTGATATATTGTTACAATAT